GGAAGAGCCAAGGTATGACATCACATTCACTATGCGACGTCATTCATATGCTCAAGGTGCAACATTTGACTGCGTATTGGCCCTTCTAGAGCCGACGCAGAAAAAGATAGCGCTCAAGTTTGCTCTGCTCTACGTCAAGTTCAGTCGCGTTCGCATGGCATCGAGCTTCGGCTGTTTCCAGCACAGCAAAGACGTTCAGACGTGCAACCTTCAAGCAGCTATGGTCCAACATCTTTGCAGTCAAGTATCGCATGGACACAACAGCCTGCAAATTCGTCTTGCGCAGCGGTGCATCGTCACGACGAAGCGCCCCGCAAGAAGCAGAAGCGGACGATGCTTTCACCTCCCGGCAAAGACCATATCATCTTTCAAAAGTAAGTTGTTTCCATCCAGGGCCAGCTCGACCGTTTGCAGCCCGGCAAATGGCTCGACGATGCAATCGTGACATTCGGCATTTGGGGAGCCATTCGTGGCGCCAACGTCGGCGCTTTTCGGTTGGACACGCTGCTCCACCGCGACTATTCATAAGACGCGGCTCTTTCAATGCCAGCTGGACTACTTAGGGCTGCGGTGTGCCCCTTGGGTCTTTTGCCGATCCACAACGTCGACCATTGGCAGCTGCTTGTCATTCTCAACGATCAAGAAGAGCGCTGGGCGTTGCTATGGATTCCATGGCCTTCGCATACGCCCCCACCAACAAAGCCACGGTCATGGCGTTTGCTGCTGCTGTCGTGCGCCATGTAATGTAGCTCATCTCATTGACACGACCATTTCGTCAGGTATGATGATTGCATCATGGTCTTCGAAGCGTTCCAACTTTACGACCGTAGCCCTTGCCAAGCGCGAACAAAAGAATCAATGAGGTGAAGGCAGTTTTATCGGACTCCATGGGTGTGTACGCACACTTCAACGTGGTGCAGAGATCTTGCGGCATGTCAACCTTGGCTTCTTTGTGGAGGTACGTACACGAGGGCGCTCGACGCGTTGCCGACATGCACCACCGATGTACGTTGACAGGGTACGAGCGGCATACCGCGCTTGCCGCACTTCATGAACATTAACCACAAGTAGGCTCGAGCGACGTCTGCCGGAAGCGGCAAAGTGACGCTGTCGTTACTGACGAGCGTGACATGGTGCACCTTGAGCCACTGCACGAGGCGCTTGTTCAAGACATTGTAGCGATTCACGGTGCTCTTGACACAGCAACCAGCAATGATGCCGCCCGTCTCGTCGTCGTAGGAATCTGCCTCGTCCTCGCGGAGCGGTAGAATCATCCTTGCAATAGAGGCTTGTTCAGTTGTAATACGACAACACGGACATACGCGTACCTCAAGAAATCCTGCCTTCGAGGCGGCTTTCTGTGACTGCGGGATCGCCATCGCTGACACGTGCTCGGCCGTTGCTGGCTCGGGCTGCTCGGCGGCGGCAGTCGCTCACGCCACCTAGACCATCCGTTGGCTTTTCGCCAGGCTTGCGCTATCCAGCTCGGTGGACACGTCAACCGCTGTCGTTGTTCGTGTTTCTGTGCTGCCACCGACCGCCACTGCCGTGGTGGTCGTCGGTCTCCCGCGCCATTTCGACGCTCGGCTTACGACCCGTTAAATGGTGGGGCTATAACACACATGCGTCTGTTAAATCGAAGAAAGGGAAGAGAAGAAGGAGGAAGTTCGATATGACGTGGCGATCTTGTGCAAGCGGTACTATGCAAGCGGTGCTGGGCGCGCGGCAATTGTGCAACATGGCATTCAGCTCTTGTTTTCATGCTGGTTTTTGTATACCTATGTGGTACCTTATAAACGTGCCTATGAACTCGAATTTCTACCAATGAACGAGCGCAACACCCTTGTAGCCAATGCGGGTGTTGCACTGCACGAACGCAACACTGGTTGTTGTTGAAGTGAGTCTATTTAGATATAATTACACTGAACTGGATATGGTGGTGGACTATCGATTCCAAGGTGCTACGACGAGCCGGCCGCCGAGAGGCTTAGCCGAGCGGGAGACGTGGCGTGTAA